TAGTATGTGGCTATGTTTTGGATTTGTACTGAGCACAGTGACTGTAATAGAGATGTTGTTATTGCTGAGTAAAATTTCCCCAGAGCCAAGGCCTTTTCTGTTTTTCATACTGCCACACTGGCAAAGAAATTGGAGGTGCATGGGAACTTCGGAGGAGACACAGCTGGGACCGGTGATGCTGATACTGACCAAAGAGATATTCCATACCATATGACATCATGCTCAGTATATAAAGTGGGAGGAAGAAGGAGGAAGGGGATACATTTGAAGTGATGGCATTTGTCTTCCCAAGGAACCGTTAGAATTGATGGGGCCCTGCTCTCCTGGAGATGGCTGAACACCTCCTGCCCATGGGAGGCAGGAAATTAATTCCTCATTTTGCTTTGCTTGTGTGTGCAGCTTTTGCTTTCCCTATTCAACTGTCTTTCTCTCAACCCACAAGTTTTGTAGCTTTTACCCTTCTGAGTCTCTCCCTGATCCTTCTGGTGGGAGAGTGAGTGAGTGAGTGACAACATCTGAGCTACTCATCTTCTAAGAACAGAGACTGATTAAAAAAATGACTCATCAATTCCCACTTAATTAGTTCTATTTCTTTAGCTAGAAAGCTTAATTTATTTATATGAGATCTGAAAAAGTGTCTTAAAATTATTCATATTAACTAGCTGCCATACAAGGAGTTCCCTTTTTAAAAATACATAATTTAAGAGCACATAAATGTGCCTAGTATCTTTGGTTAAAGCATTTTTTTAATGCAATTGTGATAAGTAGGTACTAACTGATTCTGAGGGCATCGAAGCAATGCCTTTGTGTTGCACTCTGTGTGTAAACTGTCATGTCCATGTCTCATATTCCTGAATTTAATTGTAGTGCCATTACTCCTTCTTGACCCAAGCAGTTAGTCACAATTCAAGGTCTGTGAGCTGTTTTACTTGGGGAGAAGCTAGTGCTGAGACAAGGCTTCTTTGTGTCTTGAGGTCAAGACTGGAAGGAAATAATATGAAACCATTTTTTTACTGAAAGCTCTAAGGCCCAAAAAGTTCTCACCAACAGGTTTTTCTCCACCAGCCTCTGCAGCCTTTTGCTGCTAGTGCATTTGTGGCACTTTCTGGAGACCCAACCACACTTACCTTATAAGTGTACCTTTTTAACAAAGTAGCAAAAGCTTGCATATCTGAAGAGGCCAATAATGTTTCTAAGTGGTTCCATGAAACAATTCAGCATTTTCTTACCTTTATGTGTATTGAATTGCAGAAGTCACATATGTGTTCATGGACGTTTAATCTAACTAAACATACCAATTGTTTCAGAAAGAAGCTTACTCTTTCTTTGAAACACTACTGGCTACTTCAGTGCAATACAGGACCGTTAGATCCTGTAAACTGATGTAGTCTGGGGAAAGAATGTCTCATGGATAGGGCCATTTCCCAGCATGCTATACACAGCACTGGTCAAAGTCTGGTTGGTATCCACAAAGTGGTTGAGAATGGGTCACCTAAATGTGCTAATACCTCTGGAGGTTGAAGTCCCTCATGTTCATAGGTTTTACAGGGAGTAGTGCAATTGTGAAGAAGAGAAAGTATCCAAAAGTGTGTAGGACTGTGCTGAATGTAGAAAAGACAAAACAGTACCCACAAGTGAATGTCCCTTTTATTTACATGCACCAATCTCAAGATAATATAGTAGCAAAAGCTGTGGTATTTGCCTTTTATTCTGTATGTATTTACAAATATCTACATAAGTGTGGGTGACTCATGTTAGTTTATGCTTCAAGTGTACTACAGGGCTGTGTCTCCAAGAGGACTTCCAAGAAGTCGGCTCTTGTCTTCTAGAACAGTTTTGCAAAGGTGCCTAATAGTGGACTGTAACATAAAATAAACACAGATAGTGCCTGTTGTGCATCAAATGAAGGGCTAAGGTGTCAGTGAAGTGAGGAGTTGGCTTACTACCCAGGCATGGTGGAAATAGAAGTTTAGTATGTTGAATGTGATCCAAGCAGGGAGGAACTATGTATCACAACAAGAGAAGAAACTAGTTTACAAGAGTTGGGGATACTGGAACTGCCTAGCAAATGGAGTATCCTAGGTAATGCTGTCTGATGGAATCACATAGTCATATGATAACCTACTTTGTACTGGACCCCTGAAGGTCATCTAGTTCAAGCTCCTACTCAAAGCTAACTTCAAAGTTACGTCAGGTTGCTTAGGAACTTGTACAGTTGATTTCTTAATTTCTTCAAGAATGGAAATGGCAGTCATGCTGGGCAACCTGTTCCAGTGTTTGACTATTTCTTTTCTTTGCTATTTAATCAGCTTTCCACATTGCAACTTGTGTCCATTGTCATTCATCCTTTTGTTGTGCACCTCAGAAAAGTATGACTATCTTTTCTGTAACTACCCACTAGGTAGTTAAGATAGAAAATTTATTGTCCTGTTCTCCTTACCCCGGCTTAGCCTTCTCTTCTTCACACTGGACAAACCCTTCTGTTTCAGCATCTCATCTTACATCATGTGTTCAAGATGCCTGACCATTGTGATGGAGTTCCATTGTGCTCCCTCCAATTTGTTAATGTCTGTCTTGTTCTGAGCAGCCCAAAATCGGATGCAGTACTCTAGGTGCTGTCTTGCAAATTGCATCCCTCTGCTTGCTGGCCAGACTCTTACTAACACAGCTCAGGATGTCGTTGGCCTCCTCTGCTCCAGGGATACATTGCTGACTTATGTCCAGGTTGATGTCTACCAGGACTCTAAGGTTTATTCCTGAAAAACACCTTTCTATACAGTCATCTCCCAGTCTGTACTGTTGCATGGTGTCATTCCACCCCAGGTCCAGGAGTTCACATTTGCTTTTCTTGAATTTCATGAGGTTCCCCTTGGCCCTTTTCTTCAGAGTACATTGTGGGTAGTCCACCCATCCAGTTCACACCGCATCAGTCTCTAAGGATCTTTAGGGAAATCATGTTGGAAGATTTGTTTTATAATCTTCCCAAAGGTTAGTGTGAACCTCGCCAGGCTATAGGTTTTGCTGTGTTTGAGACTGGATATTGCATTTGTTCCTTTTCAGTCATCAGGGACCTTCTCCCATCACCACAAGCTTTCAGAGATCACCATTGTTTCAATTCTTCAGTGCCTCTGGCATTGCTAAATGGCCACTTCTGGCAAAGTTGCCTCTTTGTTTCACAGAGCATAATTAATCACAGGCCACAGCATATTGTTTTATCTACATTTTGTATCACATAGGCAATAATATGAAAACAATGTTCCTACATTTAAGTTATATCAAAATTTGTTTACCAAGAGCCTGGTAAACAATTGCTGATAAAAGAGACATATGCCTTATGCATGCAAAGACACTTACAATTTAGTTGTTTTGCAGACAAAATAGTCTTATTATTCTGTACACAGTATTAGATTTGCCACACATCAGCAGCAAACAAATTACAATTTCCAGGATGCAACTCTCTAGACTAGATTAACCTGGAAGGCACTGAGTTCCTGCAGTTTTACTATTACACTTGGTCTTCCATTGCCATCTTTTGTACTAGGTACTTTGTTTTTCAATCTGCGTAATTCCATGTTTTATACTTGTTTAAAATAGTATCCAGACTAGCATGCAGAGTTCTGCATAGCAGGATTTATCTGGAAATCACAGACCAGAGAAAGCAGTTACCTAAGTGAAGACCTATCTTGTGAGATATTTTATCTCCAAGGGTCTATTTGCCTGGACTGGGAAGAGCTGACCTATTGCCACCTTAGAATTTCATGGATCTGGGATTTTGATGTTAATGTGCAATGCAAGAGTTACAAGATATTGAAAGTGGATTTCGGAGGTTTGTCCATCTTTATTTTGTTTTCTGACTTTCATTGCTGTGACTGGTTTCTCTCAGTGTATGACAAATCACAGTATGCTCCCCAAAGCCAATCTGTGATATCTATTTATTTTACACTGCAGAGCTGCTCTGAGGTGTGAATAACTTAGATAGATACATTATTAATCATTAAAGTTCAAAGGCTTTCAGAATATTAAGTCAGAAGAGTACAAGAGGATTGAACATATTGGGGGATGGGCCTGTAGAGCAGTTATATAGAGAACTGGAAATAATCCAGTGGAAATTGTATGCTATCACATCTGATTACTGCCCTGAAGATCTTTCAAATACACAGGTATGGGGATAATGCCAGAGTGGATTAGCAAACTCTGATTGCATTTGGGTCCTACAGAGAGTTTTTGTTATAAGGTTATTTGTGTTATTTTGTCCAGCATTTGAATTGAATGAGTGGAAGTAATTTAACTTCTTTTCCATCAAATTTTGCCTTCTCTTCTCTTCTAGTGCAATCATGGAACACAAAGAGCTGTTGAAAGTTCCCTGGGATTGGCAAATAGGTAAGAAAACACTTTACTTCATTGAAGATAGCTGCTGAAGGAGGCATGGAGACAGCCAGTGTTTGAGAAGGGAGGCATGAAGCTTCATAGGAGCCAATGTTTGTGACTTTTTTGCCAGTTACTGCCACAGGTTGAACCACATGCCTCATAACCGTTCTGAAATGATCTGTCCTCCCATTGCCACATTGTGCCTTCCTTGCACCATTAGGTTAAGCATATGAATGCTATAAGGTCATTATTCAGACAGCCATGAAGTAAAACAATAATGGGGTTCCAGTTCTAAGATTCAATGCAACACTGGGACAAATAAATGAGGTAGTAAGTGCCAAACCTTTTCAATGAATGCCAAAGAAAGAAAATGGAACCTAACAAAAAACCCTAAAAAAGTACTCACAGTGTATATTATAGCCTTATAAACTCATCTCCAAGGGGAGTATTTCTGTATGGAAATGGTTAATTGCCTTCAAATTAGTCCTGGAGGAATATAGCAGATGTGTCCTTTAGATGAGTTTAGGGAGCATCGTGCACAATGAGGCTGTTCCAGTGTTCTGCTATGCAGTGCGTTGCATTTTCCTTTTTCAGTTTGGGAGCTGAGTTTACGATCTAAGACTCTCTTCTAATGAGTCCAATGAATTATTTGCTTTAAAAGCAAATCAGCATTTAGAAGAGTCCCTATAATCACTCTTCCATTATTTATGACAATAAGAGAAATAAAAGAATACTAATAGTACAGAGCTGATTGATAGCAGGGCGTTCACGCTTTGGCAATCCATTGACAATAACTTGTTACCTAGTTCCAGAATGAACATCAAAATGACAGCTCAGAAGTGTGCAAAGGCACTGATTATGTGGGGAATCCCTGAGGAGAGGGGATACAAGTTATGGAATACACTGTTGCTTTCTGTAAACTTAGTTCACAATTTCCTCTCATCATCATAATCCTAATAAAAACAAAGCATTGTTCACAAAACACTGCACCTAGCAGTCTTGGAAATTTGATGGTTGCACTGTAAAACTAAGTGACAAATCCATAGAGAAACATACTCAGCTGCGTACTATAAATGTATTGGCTTTCTTTAGTCTGAGATAATTAGCATAATTGCATCAGTGTTTGTTTATATTTCATGATAAGGAGCTCAGGGACATAATTAATCTGGTACTGATGGAACTAGCAGTGGTCACAGTGAATTAATCTACTATCTCTGTAAATGTCATATATACTTCCATGAGAGTTCTGTTCTAACTCAATATCAGTGAAATGTGCTATTGAAATAAAGTCTTACTTCACCTGTGATGCCATTAAAATGTCATTGAAAGTTAGTCACTAATTCTAAAGAGTCCCTATGATTCATAAGACTGAGGTCATCTTAGCAAAAGCATCACAGATATGTGCTTGTTTTGTTAGGGCAGTGATTGGAAATGGGATGCAGTTGGATTAAATGGTGCCAGCTCTGTGTTCTTCCCTGGTTTCCACTGCACTTGGTGTACTTTCCATTGATTGGCAGTGATACAAAGTTGTCAAGTAGTGATTGACAAATCTGTGTCAGGGAGTTCACAGCCTTGTCCTGAGTAGTTATCCACTGTGACAGACTCAAATCTGCAATCTAGCACAGTTAAATCATCAGCCTTCTGAATAGTGGTGATAAAGTCACAGCAGGCAACCTGATAAATAACTCAAGGTGGCCTGTTGCCATCTGCTATAATTGTGCTTTTAAGAATGTATGAGCTACCTTTCAACTGATGCAAATGATTTTTGAATACAAAGATCTAAAGCCAATCTGTTATGTCTATCATGTTTTAAACAGGCTGGTTTTAATTTTGGAAATTCCCCTGATACATATCATCATCTTCACACTTAGTACAAATCAGTGTAACTCTGTTTGAGTCCCTGAAGGTTTAAGTATTAATACTTGCTGACAGCCTGACTGAAAGGAGAATGATTATACTGTTCTGACCAAGTGGTTTCATATGAAACCATGACATGTTTTGTAGTGATAGATGAAACAGTAACAAATAAATTCACATCAGTTTTATTTAAGAGAAAAGCCAGTTCGAATCTCCAAGGAAGTGTCCTTTGTTTCAGGGGGGTTGTATATTTAGAAATGGTCTTTATTCCAAGACAGTATGAAAAATCATAACTGATTCCATTTCATCCCAATTAAACAATTTCTTTTGGAATAAAGAATCAAAGGCAACATTCATGCATCATTACACCATGAAACATTCAACCAGCATGCTCAGGAGTGAAATCAGAGGTTCTCAATGCATGTTGAGGTACTTGGACTACTTTAGAATGGTCCCTGGGGGTTGATTCTGCCCATCTATGTGAAGATACATAGTCTTAAGAGAAATTGCTAAATACTAAAGGCCCAGGGCTTGTTCAGCCTGTGGAAGAGAAGTTACCTACAAGGAGGTTATCAAAAGGACAGAGCCGAGGTCTTCACAGCGGTGCATGACAAGAGGATGAGAGACAACAGACAGAAGCTGAAATGAGAGATTCAGACCAGATAAAAGGAAAATGACATTGAGGACAGGCAGGCAGGCAGTGGAGCATGTTGCCTGGAAAGGCTGTATAGTCTTTGTCCTCAGAGGCTTCAAGACCAGGCTGGGTAGTCCTGAGGAACACAGTCTGATCCCACAGCTGAGCCTGGTTTGATCAGGGTTTGAACTAAAGAGCTCTGAGTTCCTTTCCAGCCTGAATCACCCCATGATCCTAGAATCCCAAGTGGCCAGTTCAGACAGCTAAGAGGAATTCACACCTAACCAGGCAAAACTGTTGACCTCACCCATTAGGGTGAAGACAGACAGATAAGATGGGATTCCTTCCACCAACTTTAGATACCTGGGATGTGAACATCTGATTTAGTTAAATTGATTACCATCAGCAGCAATAAACAGGCATGATACAAATTATACTGTTGGTATCTAAAAGAGACTGAACAATCTGCACTCTAAAATTTCCCAGTCTCTTCTTTGAGGATCAACCTTCAGTATGTGTTAGGTGTAATGAATCCTACCCACAGCTGCTTTCAGTTCAGGACAATGCCAGCACACGTGAAAGCAGTTACAAAAGCTGAGCTTCTGAGGGGTTTAACGCAGACCAGCTGATAAGCAGATCATTACAAAAGCACCTCCTAAGGTGTGAGGTTGCTTCCTTCTGGGGCCTGCTACAGGCAGTTGGTGCCAGTGGCTCAGTGCCTGGTTAGACACAGCTCCCAGTGCCTGGGACTGCAGCACTAGTGGTGATTTCCAAGGCTGCCATTTGCACTGCATGGGTACCTGGGGAGGCTGAGACTTCAAGCCTTTGACTTAAACACATTTTTAGTCTGAAAATTGGCTCTCTAAGAAGCAATATATGAAAATCATACTATGTTTTTTCCAGTTTGCTCATTGTCACGGCTAAATGCCACCTAGTTGGTGGATATTGCATGTATTTTAAAGCTGTAAATGAAATGCCACTTTATATTCACCTCTGATAGGACAGCTACAATTTAAGCAATTTTCTACAGGAATTGAAATGCCCTTTGGAAAAACAGGCTGTGAAGTTCGTGTAGTTGGCTGCCAAATAATGTGAACACCAAGGCAGTATCATAAAATTATACTGTTTGTTGAGTGCATATTCCAGCAAAGCACCTGAATATGCTTGTTAAATCCAGGCTGACTACCAGGGGTTTGGTGGCCAGCTGGTAATTTGCAGACTCTACTTTGACAATGCTGACTTCAGGTCCATAATGGCTTTTGTGCCTGACCTGTTCTTGTTAAGCCTGGAAGAAAAGCTGACTTAATGCTCCTGTATGCAGACAATTTCCCATTGACAAAACTATGCTCCATTTGATGCAATCATTTGCCTACTACAGAAGATTGCAGAGTTTGCATAAAGCAGTTTTCAAGCACTGCCTAAGACTTAATTCTGTTCTTACCAGTATACAATGCACACCAGTTCTTACAAGGATTGTCCATATTCTGACTATAAACTCACATTCATTATTGTGCCATAACAATTGATGTATGGACACTGACAGTTTGTGGCTGTTGTATTTGTTTCAGATTAACATACACTTCAGTTCAGATGCTTCTAAGGGACTCAAACCATCACAGATGATTTTGTCCTTTGTGTAAATTTTCTAAAGAGTTTTTAACAAGTGAATCCACAGACATATACAAATTATGTGGGCTTTTTGATTCCCTTCTAATCCCTTTCAGAAACTTGGCAATCAGACTTTCTACAACTTTTAGTCAATAACATCATGTTCTGAAGAACTGGCATGAGTCTAAATTTAGGCTCATGCTCATATCAGCTGGGAATTCTGCAGCATAAGGCAACCTAAGAAATATCATTTGCATGAGAGCAGATGAGCAAAGTGTTTGCTGGTTTTTTAACTTCATATTGATTAATTTGCCTTGGGATTTATCAAGTAATAACTGAAGCAATGAATTATTTTCCAGTAAGTTATTTAGGTTTTTAAATTAATTTAGATTTTTACTGTAATGTATTTTTATTATATTAGTGTCTAACAATCTCATTTGTGTGAGGCACTCTGTAAATACAGAGCAGCAAAGAGTCTCAGCTCCAGAAAGCTTTATTAAGAAAGGCAGACAAAAAGAGGTAGAGGAACAGAGGTGAAAAACTATGAAGTGAGTTGTCAGGTTTGGTGGCAAAATAGGACTAGTACCCCTGACACTTGTGTGCTGTCCTCATGCATTCATCCATTGTCTCATTAACTCCTCTGCAAATAATTTTGCCTTCATTTTTTTATGTCCCTTCCCAGAAAATACTGTGTACTCCATCCAACTCAGCTGAACTCAGTTGGTGTTGGGGACATTCAGCTCTTTTGGAGACTAGATTTGATATGTCCAAATGCATCATTTTATCCAAATTTATGTTGGACATGATTAGTCACTAGTAGCATAAGACACCAATTTAAAACAACACTGCTGTGATGAAGACCATAGAAAGCCTCACGTCCACTGCTGGTATGGTTTTCACTCCATATATGTGTATCTTAAAAAATTGAGAGTTTCTTTGAAAAAGCATTATTCATTCTTTTCTAAAAACATAGCCTTCTTCTTCCTAACACAATTCATTTCTGCAGGCTGTGAAAGATCACTTTGCTTCTTGTTTCTCTTCCACAGGTTTGCTGTATGTTGGCTTTAGCGCCTGTATGTTTGGCCTCTACAGCTTTATGCCAGTGGTCATAAAGAAAACCAGTGCTACTGCTGTCAACCTCTCCCTACTCACAGCTGACCTGTACAGCCTCTTCTGTGGATTGTTCCTCTTCCACTACAAGGTATGTGGAAATGAGAGATGGGTTTGGGTAATAGCAGTATGCCTGAAGAAACATCAATGCAGAACAAGGAAACAAAAGAAGCCTCCAAGCTTTGCCAGATGTAAACAGTTAAAATGTAGTTGATTTTTTTATTTCAGGTTTCCTACAACAAAGCCAATTTTATTTTATGATTTTCACTTTTTAAAGAGGTCTTATTTGGTCTTCTTGAGTACCTGTTCATCAGCCATTGCATCATTAATTTCATCTTACTTATGAAAGGTAATTTCAACTGCTGTGAACCTAAAGTGGCAGCATGAAGGGAAGGACTCTTCCAAGGCTTTTACCTGGGAACAAGATTGTTTTGTTCATACTGATTCTGAATTGAAAAACTCATAATTGTTCTTAAATTGTACCTTTCTTGTCAGCCAACCAATGGTTGCCTGTTACTGTAAATGCCAAAACGTGCAGCAGATTTGCATTGAAGTTAAACTTTGACCTCACAGATCCTCTAATATTTAAAACACCATGTTGTACAGAAACACATTTGATCTCCAGTTACAAGGAGCAGCACTTGATTATTCACAAGTATCCCCACCCCAGTGTGATCTATAAAAGTAACATCAGGGTGGTGGGGGCAGTGCTTTGTGCCATCATTTATTCATGGGAGGGAGATTACTTCATATCTAAAATTGTGGCCCAGAGAAGTGTTAAGTAAATGAAAGCCTTAAAATTCTGAATATCTAACCAATTCAAATCAAATTTTGTGATACTAATGTTACTTGAATGAATCTAAATGAGACAGTGAAAGTTTAAAGCTTCAGAGTCCACCATAAAATTGAAAATACAATGTAAAGGTTGTTTGCTGCTTTGCAGCTCTGTCTCAGTGTGATTTTATTTCTCATAATTTCTGCCTCACACTTCAAACCCAAAGTGTCTGACATTAGTTATTAGCTGAAAATTATCTCCTGTTAATAGCATTATTTGATACCCATAGAAAAATATGTCTAGTGTTGGTAGTCCACTGTTTCTAAGAAAAATGAATCTATTACACAGTAAAAGACAGACAAATCTAATTTTGAAAACAGTGGTGGTGGGGTACTAGGAAAATCAAACTCCATTAGAAGGAAAGACTCTTTTGGCAGCAGGGGTTGGACAGCTTTGTGCTCAGCATTGCTCAAACCTAACAAAAAAGGCAATTTTGCAAACACAAACCACAAAGTTCAGGCACTTGAAAGGCAAGAGGTGCACAAAAGGTTTCATTTCTTCCCTGTGTCTAATTGCTGGGTACATTAGCAGAATCAGGAATGCAGAATTTTCAACCTCATTGGCCCCCATTTTTCTCCAGCAAGCTCATGTCAGCTCTTGACCATAGTAACACCTTGGCCTCTCTTTAAGACCTCTACTGAAAAAGTGCTTAAGAGGAGAAGGCTCAGAACTGAAAGGTTTTCTGGTTGAAAGCATCGTCTCAACATGTGTCCTGATAAATGGTTGAGTTCCACCTCTGAAGTAACTGGTGTCCCCCTCTGCCCCTTACTTGTCTGATTAGAAAACTGAAAATACCATTCTCCTATGGTTAATGTATGTATCATGCTGTCATCTTTCTTATTGGACTCTTACTTAAACTTAGTTAGGATTTTACCTCCACTGCTGTCCTTGGGACTGTTTTAGACTGTCACTCCTCCAACAGTTACAAACTTTCTGATTTTGAGCATAAATTTACTTGTGACTTGTTTTGGTCTACTCCTCTTTTAGCCAAGAGTATCCATTAGCATGAAGAATACTCATCTCCATAGCATTTTACTCCTTTGATACATCAGCAGAGAGCAATCAAATCATATCTCAGCCCCTAGTTCACTAATCAGAGCAAGCCCTTCTCAGCACCTCATCTGGTTGGATTGCATCCTCCCTGAGACTGTCAGGGAAGTCCTGGTCCCTCCAGCACCTGGTGCAATGCTTTTGCCTCTGTTTCTCCAGGAAGCAGTTACTACATAGATAGTAAGCCTGTATTTCATCACTGCATTTCCTTTGTGATTTGTACTCATCCAGCAATCCATACAACTCACATGTGTCTCTGCTTTGTTATTCCCAGCTGAAGTGTTGATAAGGAGAAGACCTTTTCCAGGACTTTGTGGAAAGACCTTTCCCTGAAATGTAGCATCAGCTTCCCAAGCTGTCAGTGTCTCCTTTCATACCCTTCAAACTTACATTGCAGAAGAAATTTGAAGAGAGAGTCTATATTCAAAGATCATCTAAATTTAAAAGTCCACTTAGTTATTTGGTTTCTGCTTTAGTTACCATGTTTTTATCCTTAGTCAGATGACCTCCTCCTTTTCATTCCAGTTTACTATCAGGTAGCATTTTGTCTGAGGAAGCAGAACTGTGAAATGTGCAACTTGCACTCAGTAATGAAGTCTAATGTTAGCATTAAAAGAACTAAATTAATTCCCCTCCTAGGACTGTGTACACTTGCTTGTTTTGTAGCTTCAGAAAAGCTGTTTCATTCCTAGCCTAGCTGTACATCTCCTTCAGATACACAGCACCTTCTGCTTGTTGCTGCACTGGCCAATGGGCACAGCCCCACTGCACTGGGAAGTAAATAGTTTTCTGCTGAACTAGGATCAGCTGAGTGGTTTAGTGCCCCTTGCAGAATATAATTTTATGAGGCTTTCAAGAAACAGTTATGTTTTTTCCCTGTGCTGCTACTTTTATAACCAGACAGGTTTATTGCACCTATAGCAATAAATCTACGAAAATCCATGGAAAATGTAGGAAATTAGTTTAACTGGGCTTTAGAGCCTCTGAGATCAAACTGAGGAGAAGATTGCATTTGAAGTGTTTTGATTCATTAGCATTTCATTTTTATATAATACAGACTTGCTACATCATTGCGTGCAGGACAGTGAGTTTATAAACAGCTGCATCTCTGTTCTTATCCCATATGCAGACATCTTCCAGCACATTGAGCAGTTCCCAGACCCATGGAACCTTGAAATGCAGCACATTAACTTAACAGAACTCTGGTGATATGCTTCTAATTCAAGATGTTAATTGTTCAAGTCATTACTGTATTAAAATGTAATAATTTATGACTTTCCAGTTTATATAGATGACTAGATTGTAATTCATCAATCTTAAAATTGTCTGCATCCCCCACATAAGAGCTGCCTTTTTCAGTGCTTCTGTAATCAATAATTGATTCCAAATATTCCAGTGGATGGGGAAATGTGTCTGGCTTCTTTGGTGGTTGAATATCAACCACTGCAATAGCATTAAAGTATGCAACTCCGTATTTTCAACACCATATTGATATGTTTTATACAATTTTTATGTTCAAAACTTGCCAAGCTATCTGTTCTCATTTCACCTTCTTAAGCACAAGTTACAGGACTGTCTTTGCCCTATCAGAGACTGCAATAGTCATTCTTTGTCATGGATACATGGATACCAGTGGTGTGGGAAATTTAGGGCCAGGTCTCTGGGTGTACAGGGTTGGAACTTTTGTATAAATACAGGGTGGGGATTTTTTGCTTAGGAGTCATTCTTTTTTACATTTTAGTCTCGGCCTTAGCTTTATTATTACGTGAACTTTTAGACTTCATACTTTTTCTCTGCAAGCTGTAGGTTGTCTTTAGTCATTCTAAGCAAATTGGGTTCTCACTAAATAATCTAAGCAGTTTATTTTATATTTTCCACCAGCTAGAGCATGCATACTGATTGTGTTCTGGACCAGCAGGTCGAGTCAGACCGTATTATATCATTACCTAGCAAGCCAAGCACAACCAATTATATTATGCCCTGGCAAATTCATTCTTTATTTTATCCAAGATGCAGCTATAAAAATTCAGAATTTCTGGATATAGTAGCACTTCCCAAATGAAGAAAATTATGTATTTCATAATAAATCAGGGAAATCATGTATCTTGATTTAGAATCTCTGAGAGTATCTGTGACACAGGACTTGGATACACGGATAAACATGATACTCAAAACGTTTCAGCACTAGAAATCTGTAATGGTGCTAGCTGAAACCTCATTTGCTGATACTTACTGATGCTTCTAAAAATTACTTTTCAATGCTATTCCCAACAGCATCTTTCCAATGGAAGGGAGCAGTGTCAGCCTTCCCGTTGCATCAACAAACAAGCCGTGGAGGAGACTGGGTTTTAACCAAATGGAGAAGAGAGGGTACAGGTTGGGGGAAATAGATTTCAGGTTCTTTTTTTGCCAACACAGATCCTAAGCAATGCCTGTGAATCGGGAGTTTACATGGTCTTCACTGAGGTGAAAATTTGGCCCTTATGGGAAGCAAAGGAGAAGAATTATAAGGCTCCATTAGAAGTGTGTACTTTGCCATCCTGATCCAAACCACTGAAGCCAGTATGAACTTCTCTGCTGGCTTCAGCATGCTTCAGTTCATTTTCCTAAATTAGAGAGCCTGCCACTCAAGGAATAACCTTTTAAAAAATTCAGAGTTCCATGACTATGCAGATGAAGCCCATGCCTCACTGTGACTCTATATGCTTCAGATAGGCCTGGGCTTTGCTAGAGCAGGATGGATACAGTGCCTGTGGGTTGGGAGCAGGAGTTAAATTTGGGTTGGTTTGAGGGAGGATTGTTTATTGCTTTGATTTTTATTTGGCATCCATCCATAAACATCTGAGAGACTTTTCACAATCATCTGAACAAACTGAGAAAGTACTTCAAATTATGTTCTCACTTTTTCTTTTTTAATTTACCTGCAAGTATAATCTCAAGTTAGTAAGATCCTTCTCTTTGCTTGCAGTTGCTAGGGGACTGATACCTACCTATTTTAAACTTTGACAGTGATATTGTCAGTGGTGCATCATTATTTCTAGTAAAGTATGCAGTGCAGACTAAGCAACTATTTTTTACACTATTACTTCGTCTGTCATATACTTTAGGATCTTTTCCTGGTGAAATTGGATATGCAAACTGCTTGATCCATAAACTTCCTGTTTGAATGGAATTTAATCTCACAGGGCTTTTATCCTTGTGAATGC